TTACGGGGCCTTAAACGGGGCCTGACGGGGCCGTACGGGGCCTCACGGGGGGGCCTTAAACGAGGCCGTAAACGGGGCCATACGGGGCCTTACTGGGCCTTAAGGGGTCTTACGGGGCCTTAAGGGGCATTACGGGGCCTTACGGGGCCTAAAACGGGGCCTTACGGGGCCTTAAACGGGGCCTTACGGGGTTGTAAACGGGGCCTTACGGGGCCTTACGGGGCCTTACGGGGCCTTACGGGGCCTGAAACGGGGCCTTAAGGGGCCTTAAACGGGGCCTTACGGGGCCTTAAACGGGGCCTTACGGGGCCTTAAACGGGGCCTTACGGGGCCATACGGGGCCTTACGGGGCCTTACGGGGCCTTACGGGGCCTTACGAGGCCTTACGGAGCCTTAAACGGGGCCTTACGGGGCCTTAAACGGGGCCTTACGGGACCATACGGGGCCTTACGGGGCCTTAAACGGGGCCGTAAAGGGGGCCTTAAGGGGCCTTACGGGGCATTCCGGGGCCTTACGGGGCCTTATGGGGCATGAAAACGGGCCCTTACGGGGCCGGCGCTAGCTCTAAGGGCAGGCGCAGGGGCCACTACGGGCCTCGAAAGGGTAGGCGCGACGCGCGCGTCGAGTAGGTACGAAAAAATCAGTGGTGGGCCCTTAAAAAAAAAAACTCGAAACTAGCTCTATACCATGTGAAAGAATAGACGAAAGAATGATGAATTAGGAAATGAGAAGGGTACAAGTAGGAAACACATAAGTGTTGTACCCTCTAAGGACTACCCCACTACAGCCTAGACAGACTATAGTAAATATATGTTTGACATATGACGCCGTTGGACCTGTTCTGTTGCCGCACTACTTGTGCGGACCCCTCCGCACAGCACCAGTTGATGCTCCGAAAAGGAATATCTCAGCGGAAACGGGTCGTCAAGCCTGACGACCTATTGACTTGACGACATGCTGCCCCGGGCATAAAACCACTAAAACCCTATCTGATGGCATGCCATCCGAGGGAGGCATCAACCCTAAATCCATGGCCTTGATCTGTGGCGCTAACTCAGAGTTACCGAGCCTTGTAGGGTTGGGTGAGTTCACCGACGAGTAATCATTTCGCTCGTGTTAAGGTATGAGTTGTAACTCACCTTCTTGTTGTTCTGTGGCCCGTAACTCTGAGTTATGGGAGTGTCAGGAAGGTTCTCGAAGATGTCCCGGTCAAAACTTTTGGACTCAACCCGAACTGCCGCCCCTTCGAAACAAATTTCGCGAAAGGGTGACCATGAAGGTAATCTTGGAATCTCGGGGTCGCGTGGTGCAGACAGAAAAAGATGGAGTCAGTGCAAGATCAGTTACGGGCCAAATATGGGAAGCGTAGGCACTAGTTGGAAAGAACCAAATGTGGTCATTGTTAAGGTAACCCCTCTCGAGCCGTACTCAGAGTAGTGCAGCCAAATTTCACCCAAAAGCCCGAGTAAGGGAAAGCTGTAACTCTGAGTTAGTTTGCCCGTGAAAGAAGATTCGGTGCATGCTTCCTACGAAGCGTACTCATGTTTATAACTTTGCGTATTTGGAACCCATATTTGCTAACTCAGAGTTAGCTGGCACGGTGTGATTGTAACGTACACACGTGTGAGGGTTGAGTTAATGAAGCCACCACGAACCCTGTTAACTCTGAGTTCAGGGGCCACAGAACAAGGCCCATGTCTCCCTGTGTTTAGGGTTGATGCCTCCCTGACCGGATGCATGCCCGAATAGGTTTTTTTTTTTTTTGCCCGCGGGCAGCGAGCTCCCCCGGGCGGACTCGCTTGTCCGCTGAGATATATTCGGCGGATTCTACAATCCAGCCTCGAAGCTTCAATTTTAAGGGCGCATTCCCAAAAAAGAGGCTCGGGACCCTGAACTCCATCCCGAGCCTAATTAGTGCTATGCTGTGCTGTGCAGCTCTTTAGTGCACCGGTGATGTGGTGCTATCCCCCACTCCCATGCAAACTGGGTGCGGGGCTTGTGCTGTCCCTGTCCCCGCTCAAGGAGGGGATCCAGAGATAGCGCAAGTAATGTCGGGCAGGGATAAACGTTTTTCATTTGTCCTGGTTGGCCCTTCTGCTTTCAGGCCATCCAAACACCCAATGGTTGCTCGCGATAGGAGATTTAACGGCCTGCGAAGGAAGATGCACGGAGGGGGGGAGGAAGATAGCGTGAGCCTTCAAATATTTTGATGCGTACCGAGCCTCTTGTAGCACAGCTTGTGCTGTGCTGTGCTGTCCGCCCACCATTGGCCGATGGGCAACAGAACAGGGCCTTTGAGGTTCCACTCACTTCTGGTCACCTATCTCCAACTTCGGGGTCAACGATCATTTGGGCGATGCGTTCGATTGCGAGCTAACGAAATCCCCGCACGACCCGTGGCGAATGAGCGGGCGGTGCAGCGTAGGAGCGGGCAGAAGTGTACAAATGTTCTCGATTAGAGTCCCCGTAAAAAACACGCGCGCTGCGGGCCTTTGTGGAAAACTCACAAACCCCGGGCAAAAGGGAACTTATAGTCCCACATGAGAAAAATTGCATGAAGAGCGATTTTCTTTCGTGACTATTCGTGTTTTTCTGTCACATACGTACATTCGGACTACGCTGTCTTCAACTTCTCGTCACACGGTTCGCCGCGTTGTTCAGTGTTGCAGGACAAACGGGCACAAAAATACAAAATAAATTATGTTTAAGGCCGAAATGAAAGACAACAATTTTTGTTTTACACTGTAATCGAGATTAATGAGATGGCATCGTCGGAGCTCGCGGGGAACCGCGCAACAGGATTTAGACGCAAGAGAGGTCAAGATAAACAGACAAACACAACTGCAAAGAGTAAATAGTGAATTAAAAATTCATTTTGTTTGATTTTCCCTTAATGTTCCGACAGGTTCGATTTGCGTCCTCTGATTGGCTGCAGAACTGATTCGTGCAATGATTCAGTCAAGATGCAAGATTTCCCGCCAAAAATGGGACTGTGGAGGAGAGGATACACCTAGGGCTTATGTGAAAAATCTACTCGTTGAGGAAATGGGACTCTTTCAGGAAAGGCCTCTAAGCCAGAACATCTGTATTGGAACGAAGCGCTTGGAAGTTGGATCAATTGGGTTGGAACTCGCTCGGTAGAAACGACAAAACAAATATCTCATCTGCTGTACTTTTCATCTGGTCCACTTGGCTCCGCATATGGTCGCTCGTGTCAGCCAATTTTCCAGGCGCGTGTGACGTGGACCTCGTCGTGGATTACGTATGCCTGCCTGGGCTCCTATGATTCGGCGCGTGAGATAACGCACATCCTTTCCATCTGCCAGGGACTTTGCAACGGTGCGGCGGAGGGAACGAGGTGGCATGGCGTGAAGGGAGGAAGACGCCCGCTGTTTGATCGTGCTTGTCTGTTCTGGGCCAGCATAATTGGTCTTGACCGTATGTTCTCCAATGGACAAATGTGCTCTAGATTTTGGGAGTGCAAATGCTGGGTTTACCGGCTTGGGTGTTGTCAAGTTGGAGTGGAGTGGCACTATAAAAAAAATCTCTCCTCCTCCTGAAGCACAGTGGCTGCAACCATGCAACTGGCAACTTCGCACAGTTGCTCCACTTAGCGCGGTGACAGTTGCTGACCTCAAGCAGTGATGAAGTCCTCAACCCAGCACGGCTGTGATTGTTTGGGGACACCTGGACGAATCCGGAGACCCAAAACTTTGTATCCCAGAATGTGGCAGGGTTGGGCCAATCAGGATTCAAAGCACAATCTCAACCGTTCAAACGAGGTAAATTGTTTTTAGAGCCTCATTACTGGAAGGTAAAATTCGGTGTTACCCCGGCTGTCGGTCGTAACCTGCCTCCCCATGTGTAACACGCCTCGCTGGGTAACGAGGCTGTTCATCCACTCCCAGATGAGCACCTGTGTAGTCCCTTTTAATGGGGACTGGCTGCAAACGCCGCAGGGGAGATTTGATCCCAGGACCTTATCTCCTGGAAGTGAACCAGCTAATTAGCTGGGCCACTTCAGGATAGAGCCTCATTACTGGAACAGACCCAATCATGGATACAGAAATTACTTTGCAAACCTTTTTCCTCAGGCTCTCAAGGAGCTAACGTATAGTTGCCTTTCCTCGTCCATCCCGCTTAGCTAGTATCGGGGAAGGAAAACTGGTCCCTACTAAGGGCTGGAGGCCCTACTGGCCGAAAACCACCCATAAAAGTTTTAGCTAGGTCGCCAAATCTCTGGGAAAAGCAATGTGAATGTCCTGGTTCTGTATCTACAGCTCGTCAGCTCTCCAACCGCGCGGTGCGAAAGGACGGCTATCCCAACACCGATCTAGTACGAGGGTTTATGGTCGCGTGGAGGAACTTTGCTGCTGCCGGAACTTCGGGAATCCCAACCCAACTGAAGGAACTGTAGGTCGAAGATACTGTACTGTACGTTCACGAGTCAGTCTGCCCAGGAACTTTCAGCCTTCGAGAATATTCTGGAATGCCTGCCCATGTACTGTACAGTAAAACCTCCTGATTGCGAAGGCGAGTCGCAAAGTGCCCCACACTGTGCCTTTCACTGTAGCGGAAAGATAGGGCTGATCTGGCTGGCGGTGGCACTTTTGACGGGCAATATCCACGTGGCAGCAGCAAATCCTCCTTCAGCTCGCACTTTGACCCCCACGTTTCCTAACTACCGGTAGAAAATATCCGGGTGCAGGCTTTCTAAAAGGTGCAGAGCAAATTCGCGTGCAGGGGTTGGGCATCATGTGTTTTGTGGAGTTCTTGGCTGAATGAAACTGGCTGAAACCAAACCCCAACACAAAAGACTCGACTCGACTTCAAATGCATTGCCCATACCATAACCCCCCGCTGAACTGCTTCTGTAGTATCCCTTCCTCCCACTTCCAAAACCTCACTTTGCCGCCAGTGCTTCCTCTCTCCTTTCCTCCCTTGCTCTCAAAAAGGGGGTGGCGGGGCCAATGGACACGCGCTTGCGCACGCTCTTAGCAATGCTCCCCTACGGTACCACCACCACCCGCACTTGACTTATCCTCCACATCCACAACCATCTTGGTGACGCTCTCTCCCAGATCCCACGAACTCTTACTCTCAGAAACCTCAGCACTCTCCCTTCACCAGTCCATTCCTCGTCCGCTACGCGTCAATTTCACCACCAAGGTCTACCGTCCAACGTCCGCCATGTGTCAGGGTCAGAGACTCGTCGGCCCTGCCGTTTCGCTCGAACCCATTCCGAGCTCGTCAACAATTCCTCATCACACTGCGGTTGCCGCAGCCGAGCTTTTCGAACACCTTCGCTGCGACCCGTGGTCGTCGCCGTCGTCGCAGTCGTCGCCGTCGTCGTTCTTTTGGTATCCGAATCAGCTCACTACCTATCACCGACCTGATACCAATGCCGGCGGTAGCAGTAGCTGTTGCACCATCAGCAGAGATGACGCGCCAGCCAACGCAAATGCCGCCGCCGATGCCGTCGCCGCCGCTGGCGCTGGCACTGTCGCTACTGTGACTGCCAATACCGCTGCTGCCAACTTTGGACCAGCCAAGACTAGCGGGTTGGTGGGCCTAGCGGATCCGGGCGGGTCGAAGCGCGAGGGAAGCGAGGCTGTCGCCACGTCGGCTGCAACGGCGGCGGCGGGCGCGGCGACGTTAGAGCGAGGCGCGAAGGATCATCAGAGCGTCGCGGCGGCACAGGCGGCGGTACAGGCGGCGCAGGCAGAGTGGCCGGATCGCTTGCTTGAGAGCTGGTCGTCGCGTGCGGAAGATAAGGGGGAGCGCTGGTGGCGGAAGGCCTCCCCGCAGTGGGGGGAGATCTCGTGGAGCCACTGCTCCGCGCGCAATGGCGTTTGCGCCGACACCACCGGCGGCGGCGGCGGCGGTCGAAGTGTTTTACTTACCAGTGCCGGAGGCAGTGCTTCTGGCGAGCTGTTGATCGACGCGGTGCTCGCGGCGTGCAACGCGGGGGAACGTGAGCGGAAGCTCTCCGCCGGGGAGGGTACGGGTGAGCCGCAGGCGGCGCGACGAGCCGGCGCGGTGGTCGCGGGCGGCGCTTCTGTCCCCGCCAACTCCCCGGCCGCCCTCCCCTTCTCTGCCTCCGTGAATACCGCCGGCGCAGCGGCCGCGTTTCCCGGCATGGTTCCGTCCTTGGCGGAGGAATTAGAAGCGTGTGTGGCGAGACGAGAGTTGGCGGAGACGGCGGCGCTGGCGGCGCTGGCGGCGGAGGCGGCGGAGGCGGCGGGGCGACGGCCGCAGCAGCTGGGGGTTCAGCAGCCGTTCGTGTCGTCGTCGCTCGCGGAGGTCGCGGCGGCTCTGGAGAGGGAAAGCGGCGGGGGGACCCATGGATGTATTAGTGGCGGCGGCGGCGGCGGCGACGTGCGGCCGGCGGCCATTGCGGAAGGAGGCGGGGCCGCTGGAAGTGGCGGGAAGAGGCGCCGATGGTGCGACGTGGCTCTCGCGCTGGCGGGGAATGACGTCAACAGCGCTGGCGCAGCGGCAGCGGCGCCGGTGGGTGCGGCGGCGGATCTGTGGGCCTGGGGTTCGGAGAAGCGCGGGCAGCAGCAGCGCGCAGCGTCGCTGGAGGTAAGCAGCAGTGCTGGGGTCTGTTGTTCGCACCGCCTGACGCCACTTCACACCACTTCACACCGCTTCACGCCGCTTCATGCTGCCTGGGATGCGGGTGTCCAACTAACGATTTCTCTTGTGCCTGGCAGGATCAGCTAGAGCACCTCATGCAAGCCTGTCAATACCAGCAGCAGCAGCAGCAGCAGCAGCAGCAGCAGCAGCAGCAGGAGGCAGAGAGACAGCCTCTTCACACCGCTCCTTCCCCCATGGCTGCTACAGCCCCCTGCCTCATTTCTCCCTCCTTCGCCTTCACCACCTCCTGCCCCGGCGCCTTCTCCGCCGCTCCCTCGCCCTCCGCACCGTTCCCGCCGTCGCCTCCCCCCGCCTGCCCTTGCTCCGGGCTGTGCGCTGCTGCCCCCTGCTGCTCGGGGTCGCTGTGCGTGCCGGCGCACCAACCGTGGGGCTTGCACCTCGCTTTGGAGCAGCAGCAACAGTTTCAGCAGTTGCAGCAGCAGCAGCAGCAGCAGCAGCAGCAGCAGCATCAGCAAATGCAGCAGCAGCAGGGCGGGCAGTGGGAGGGCATGGGGCGGTGGATGAGCTCCCTGACTGGCCACGCATGGTTACACCAGCATCAGCATCACCACCATCATTATCACCACCACCATCAGCAGCAGCAGCAGCAGCAGCGCGCCAATTTGTCTCGCGCTGCTTCCTCTCACAGTCTCACCACTCCGTTCAACCCTTCCTCGTTTCCCCATCTCAACGCCCCCAGGCGTCCCCCCATGGGAGCACCGGAGCAGACCTGCTTCTCGAGCCTGTTCCCCGTGCCTGTGCCTTCCAGACGAGCTCAGCTGCCTCGGGCCCGAACCTCCGCGTCCGCGGCTGCAGCTGCGGCTGGGCTGAGGAGCGGGCGAGGGAGGGGCGCGGCAATGGCTGCCGCATCGGAGAAGGAGAACAAGCGGATTGCGGCGGCAGCGCTGCAATGGCAGCTGCAGCAGGAGAAGCAGCAGCAGGAGAAACAACAGCAGGAGAAGCAACAGGAACCGCAAGTGCCGCCAGGAATGCCAGCTACGCCTGGAGTGCAATCCGTGCTGCCAGCTGCGCCGCGTGCACCCACCGAATCCACCGCACCTGCTGCTGCTGCGCCTGAGCGCGTGTGGCGGATTGATGGCCGAGGCTACTTCCCTCTGTGGAACGACCAGCAGCAGCAGGGTGTGAGGCGGCACAAGCGGTTCAAGCTGGTGGGTGCGAGCAGCCAGAGCGGAGCATCAGCAGGGGGGTCCGTCACAGTGGGAGACAAGCTCTCCTTCGCTGCCGCTGCTGCTGCGGCAGCTCCAGCACACGCTGCAGACGCAGCAGGAGCAGCAGCAGAAGCAGGAACAACAGGAGCAGCGGCGGTGACGGCATCGTGTGGCAGTGGAGCATTGGATCTGCAGTGCACAGAGGTCATGTGAACAAAGGTGAGCGCTTGCTGCTGTTGATGCACCCTCCCGCCTCCTGCTCTCCTGAACTTTGACCTGCAGAGATGTCCTGGACTTCATCCTGTAGCTTTTTAAGGCGAATCAAACTTCCCTAAACCCTAAACTGTACATTCGTAGTTTCATCTTGAGTGATTGCGTGCCCTCCTGACTGCTTCTCCCTGCTGTTTTGATATGATGAATGCAGGTTGCAATCCCTACAGAACTGTCACGGCACCACCATTACCGCACCATCCGCTCTGCCTCCATTCGTCTGCTTTGCCAGTGCTCCTGCTCCTGCTCCTGCGTCTGCTCCTGCACCTATATAGCCCCTTCTCTGCACAATACTTTTTTTACTCCTTCCTTGTTCCGTTGCGCCGGCGTTTACTAATCCGCCTATCCATCATAGTCACAGCCCACCCACACTCACAGCTCCCTCAGCTAGTGTCAGAGAGAAATTTGAGAGAGGAGAGAAAAAAAAAGAGGGATTTAGAGCCATCAGCAATCATTCTTGTGCCACCATACCATCTCTGCTCAAATGCACCACTGACGCACCCAACTCGTAGAGGAAGCCTTGTGATGGTAAGACTAGTGAATCGTCGTCGAATCGAGCCTCTTCTAGTCGAGCCTAAGACGCAAAAGACGAGTGTGTTTAGGCGTGTGTGTGTGTCTCCCCGCAGCCTCGTCCACCCATTCTTTGGTCCCTCCATTCATGGGACTCCTATTCGTTGGCACTCCTTTAGCTTTTCATTCCATTCGTTCTCGCACACCCATTCTTTCGTTCGTGGACCAGCCATGACCCTGTGTTCCTGCTTCCGTCTCGCCACTCATCCCTCATCAAACCATCTACCCACCATCCCACCTCCTCGCATCGCTCGCAAGGCCGCCACCACCAGCCAGCGCGCTGCCAACAGCCATGCCCGCTTTCTGTCTCCATTTCTGTTCCTGTCCCCGGTCTCAATCCTTCTCCTTCTCCGGTCCCTTCTCTCCGTCGTAGTCACCACTGCTGCTGCCACTGCTTCTGCTCTCTCCTGCTCTGCAGATCCTGCCTGCAGCAGCACCACCACCAGCAGCAGCAGCATGACCATTATCTGTGTGGTTGTCGTCACTGCCACTGCCACTGCCTCTGCCATCCTGCTACACCTTCCCATGGAGGCTTTTCCATGCCTCCCACGCGTGCCTGCCTGGGTGCGTGCGTGCCATCCGCAGGTAGGTGTCCTCTGCGGTTAGGGCCATCTGGCTGGTCACCAACAGCTGCCCGCGCAGCTGCATACTTCCTTAGCCCCCATATCACCATAGCCCCATAGCTCCATAGCTCAATAGATCTATACGTCTACAGCCACATAGCCCCATAGCCTAGCCCCATACCTCCATAGCCTCATAGCCCCAGGACTTCGTAGCCTCATTCCTCCGTAGTTTGAGAGCATCCAGGCAACCAAGCACCGCTCCTGTCTTGATGGCTTTGCCACCACCATCACCATTACCACTGCCATTATCACCACCACCATCACCACCACCACCACCATCACCACCACCATGCCTTAGGCCGGCTCCATTCTGGAATCTTCACCGCTCTGCATTCTTCACGCTCTGTATCCCCCCTGCAGCTTCCGTTGCCCCTGTGTTGTCCATGCACTCTACATGTCCATCAACCTGTATGCGGCCGTGCCACAGTTGTGCGTGTGTGCTTTGCGGTGCTGTGCTGTGCAGTGCTGTGCTGTGCTGCGCGGTTCTGTGCGGTTTGGTACGGTGTGTCGCGGCCTCACTGGTGCCACAGTTGTGCCGCCATGTCAGCCAGACAGCCAGCCATTTCTGATACCAAAGGATCAAACCCACTACACTTGACCCCTGGGGTTTGGTTTGGCCCGGCTGTAACAGTCAGTTATAGTAACCTACACTGGTTGCGAGCGGCTACTCTGGATGGGGAGGAGGCAGGGGGGGGGGGGGGGGCTTTGTAGAGAGCATGTGTAGTGCAGAGCGGTTGTTGTGTAGTGCGGAGCACTGAAGTAAGGCACCTTCAAGTGCGGAGCATAGGCAGGCTTAGTGGTATTGTAGGCCTTGGCTGATGCTAGGCGGATCTTTGAGAACCTTACACGTTTATCATAATTTTTATACCTGGCATGCTGCTGGTTGCCTAGCTGGTATACTGGAAGTGTAACCTGTATACTAAGTGACACGGTAGGTACGGTACAACAACAAATGTGGCCTTAGCCGTTCAGATCTGGTGGGGTACCAACCAGGCTACCAGCACAACGTTCTGCTAGCACTTGATTGTTACTAGCTACGCTACCCCTCCTACGGTACCTAGAAGCGCTTCAATTCAACCGCCTGGCCCGGATCAAACCGTTGACTTGGCTTGCCTCCGAAAGGGCAATCATGGTTGAATGCAGAGGTGAAACACTGCACTGCACCGCACTGCACTGCATTGCATTCTACACAACACTAAATTCCAGATCTCATCACTCGTGATTTGATTTTCCATAATAGATACCGTAGTAACAATGACTGCTGCACGCCCCAAAGAGTGTGTACTGTGCATTGTTCAGCGTGGAGAGGAACAATACTACTCGCCCACTACTACCAAACACACGCATACGCTACCAGCCATATTCAAGGGTACTTAGACTCACCACACACTCCAAGCACAAGCAAGTGGCCACAAAGCCAGTTCAAGAGTTTACTAGTATATATAGAAGCACAACAAGCAGAGCAAACAGCAAGTCTATAGCAACCGAGGGCCTACCTCAACAAGCCTCAACTGCACACAGAACATGTGGTGGTCACCATGCGCCAAGGCCTTGGTGAAGACGTCGGCAATGTTGGCCTCTGAGGCCACAAAGTCCAAACGTGCCTGCCCGCGTCGCTTCAACTCTCGCTTCAACTCACGTCAATATGCTTCACTCTGCTCTCTAGTCGAGGCTCTCGACACAGGAGGATCATGTCAGAATCAATTGTGCAGGAATGAATGAACTATGAATGAGTTGGGTACAAGTACTAACCCTAAAGTGTTGTACCCCTTGTAGGCTAACCCACTATAGCCTAGAGAGAACACAAACATACAAATTGGCACACCCCCATAGGCTAAGTGGGAGAGAGCAAACACAATAGACGGTCACAAGACCAGTCAAGCAAGAGAACAAGCAAAGCAAAGCCCAGGGTGGATCTCAAGGACACCACACATTCTGAGCACAAGCAAGCGGCCACAAGGCCAGTTCACATGCAGAGTTATAATAGCAAGGCAATACACTAATCACCACCTAGCAAGAGTAAACAAGCAGGTATAAAGATATATATATATCAGTGTACAACAAGAGCAAGTCAAGCAACCAGCAGGTGAGGCAGAGTGGGCACAAGCCCAAGAGAAGTGCAGAAACGCTGATGATCACCAGACCCAAGGGCCTTGGTGAACACATCAGCAGTGTTGGCCCGCAAGGCCACATAGGAAAGGCGGAGCTGACGAACCCGCTGCTGCAGCTCACGTGCAAGGAAGTAGCGAAGAGCAATGTGCTTCGTTCTGTGCTACAGTCTCTGCTCGCGACACAAGGAAAGCATTGCCTTGTTGTCGACATACAGAACTGGAGGAGAACGAGGCCGCTCTCCCAAGTAGGTCAGCAGGTAGGTCAGCCAGCGTAGCTCCTGTGCAGCCATGGCCCCAGCGTAGATCTCGGCCTCACAGCTGGAACCAAGCATAGAAGAAGAACGACTAGACCTCCACGAGACAGAACCAGAGCCAAGACTGAAGGTGTAATCCTGTGACGAACGCTGAGTCGCCTGGTCGTCGGCCCAAGAAGCGTCGGAGTGTCCTGTGAGTACCACTGAACCCTGTCCTCCAAGCACGAGCCCCATGCCCGATGTACTGCACAAGTAACTGTCAGAATATTATGTTTCTCTAGTCTGCAGTGGGGTACTCAATTGTGAGTACAACCCTGTTAGGGTTTCCTATATGTACTCAATTGCTTTCTAGTGCATTCATTCCTTCTCATTTCATTCATTCCTGTTTCTTTCTTCACAGTAACGCAGCACCCTCTTCGCAGAATCCCAGTGCACCTTTCGGTGTTGACCGGGAGCCACGTAGCGAGCCAGAAGGCTAAGAGGGTACGCGAGGTCAGGTCGCGTGCAAGTCATCAGGTACATGAGGCAACCCACAAGCTCTGGGTACGGACCACTCGGCTCTACGGACTCGTCCGAAGGTGGAGCTGAGAGCGAGTGGCCAGTAGACAGAGGAGTGGGCTGTGGCGAGGAGAACTGGAAGCCGAAGCGCTGAAGGACCTGGTGCACCATGTGTGACTTAGTGAGGGTGATGGTGCGCCGTGCTCTGTCCCGGGTGATCTGCAAGCCAAGATAGCTACGCAGCTCACCCAGGTCAGTGTAGGTGTGTCTCTCCTGCAGCTCCACCTTCACTAGGGCCAGTGCCTCCGTGTCAGCACTAGCAAAAACCAAGTCGTCGACGTACACGAGAACATAGAACGGTGGCAGGGTAGTGTCGGTGCGTAGAAACAGCGACGGGTCAGCAAAGGAAGGAGCAAACCCAAGAGCCGCAAGTGTCATCCTCAGTGCTTCGTGCCACTCGCGAGGTGCCTGGCGGAGACCGTAGACTGGCCACCGGAGGCTCCACTGGGTACCTGCAGGAAATGACCCAGTGAAGCCGGGTGGGCGGCGCAGCCAGATCTCCTCGTGAAGGCTGCCCTGCAAGAAAGCTGTGGAGAAGTCGAGGGAGTGCAGCTCGTAGTCACGCTGTGCTGCAACGTGCAGCACCACCCGAAGAGTAGTCATCTTTGGGGTGGGGGAGTAGGTCTGGAAGAAGTCGACCCCCTGTCGCTGTCTGAAGCCTCGAGCAACGTAACGCGCCTTGAAGGCAGGCGGAGAACCCGGCGGCCGCTTCAATCTGAAAATCCACATGCCATCGACTATGTTTGCCCAAGGAGGAGGAACCTCGTAGACGTAGGTGCCTGTGGACTTCCAGGAAGCCATCTCTACGACCATGGCTGTGTGCCACT